TATCACACAAATAACTTATAACATTCTTAGTGGTTGGGTTCTTCGGTGCCAAGTAGATAAATTGAACTCTGATCTAATGTGCTTACTGCTTAGCAAAAGCACAACTTAGCCTAGGCGTAATCCTTTTTTTCTTGTTCTTTCTTTGTTCCTCAAAAAATATTTATCTTTCATCTCACTACTGGAAATTTTGAAATTTCCGACCACCTGAAAGTGATCTTAAATCAAGTTGAAAGTCTTGTTCCGACCACTTTTGGTATCCGGAAAAACCTTTGTTGCTATTTCCGACCACTTTTTGGACTTTTTGGTATCAACTTAATTTAAGATCATTTTCAGGTGGTCGGAAATTTCAGAATTTCCAGTAGTGTCTCTCCACCATTATACAAATTTCCTCAAAAACTTTACTAAAACCTCTCAATAAGCAAGATCTTAAATTTCAATCAAACTCAATTCATGGAATACTACTTTAGTTGGGCACATCATTCCACAACATACAATATGTAATACTAATAGTTAAGTTTCAATCAAATTCTATTCAAATGATAACTATTTCAAAAATACTTTACATAAGACCAAGTGACTAACCACCTCCGTGCAAAAATTGACCTTGCAAAATTAGATGTCATTTTCCTTTTTTTTTTTTTTTTTTTTTTTTTTAATTTGGTTCATCTCCAATTTTTTTTAATTGTTATAATAGCATTTTTATTATTAAATGTGATGTGAAAATGAAATATATTTTTAAAAATTAAACTAGTTGAAATTGTATTGTTATCAAAAAAATTAGTTAAAAGAATTTAAATTTTAATGAGGTAAAAATACAATCAATTTTTATAATTAAGGGAGTATTTTTTTTTAATAATAATAGATTTACTTAAAACTCTTGACTTGTACTCCGTAACACATTTTACCTATTTTTTTTGGTGAGTATATTTTACCCTCATTTGTCCAACATACAAATATAATCGTACCAGTACTCTATGTCTCTATTGGGAACACAACAAATGGTACCAGTATGTACTTTCAAAATAATAATAATAATAACAAATGGTACCATTTAACCCAGATGTAGACGACACATTATTTGTGAATACCGTGTCAGTCGTGTCACGGTGTGACTCGTGGCCACTTGGCCACTTCTTTTGCTACCAAAACAAAATGTCTTTTCAGTTTTTTTTTTTTGTTTTATTATTATTATTATTTTTTTTCAATAAGCAATAAAAATAAATAATGAAAACAGAAAAATTCTTATATAAGAGAATCTTGAAACATATAATAACTTTAGTCAAAATTATATGACATGACTTTAATTTAAAGAAAAAAGGGTTTCAAGTTAAATTAAAAGGATCTCAATTTTAATAGAAGATAGCCTAATAATATAGATGCCCAATGCATGCACTTCTATCAACGAATTTCAATTCAATGACTAGAGTTTGGGCAGACATGAATAGGAATCCGAACAGGGATCGAGTTTCACCAACGGAAGCAATCTCTCAAAGTGAGGGGGGTTCCTTGTACGCAGTGAGCAAATGTCTAGCCTCTATGATTCATGTTCAGTTGAGTTACCATGATTTACATCCTCTTAAATGCTCTGTCGGGTCGGGATATGGGCCCTTAGGGTTGGGAAACCTTTTAGAAGAATGAATAGGAATTCGAAATGCAATAATGAGTGTAGTGTTACCAAAAATAGAATGAAGGTTGTCATTTAATTAATACCAACATAAAAAAAATTAGAAGTAAATAATACAAACCAATATCTAAAATAAAATTAGAAGTAAATAATACAAACCAATATCTACACTTTCACGTGAATGCATAAATGAGTGGTACGTAAATTATGGGTAAGGGTGCAGGATCGAGTTCTATCAATAACAGTGTGAGAGTTACATTTAATGTGGTGAGCTTTTTGTGAACACCATGCACCTAATGTGCTGATGAGTCGCCGTGATTCACCCTTCCACTATCTTGTTAGGTCGGGGTGATGGATAAAGAAATTTCGCTTTTTGTTGACAAAAATGGACAACCCTATTTAATGTGGATAGTTAAACTAGAGATGTTAAAAAAGCAAAAAAAAAAAAAAAAAACAATTAAATTGTGTAATTTAGTAGGTAAATAAAAGTGAGGAATAAGGTTGTATTCCTAATTTCTATATTTTACACGAATTAATTGATCCGACACTCATCTGTCTATCACCTCACATGCCCTGGAAAGTTTTGGTGGAAAGTTTGTATCCCAATCTCTATTTAATGCTATCCTATAGTTTTAACTTATAATAGCTTATTAATATCAAATTATCAGTCATGAAACTAACTCATAGTTTCTTTAAACTAACTCAGAATATTACTTCTACTGGTCCTTTTTTCTTCAAACATATCCTATACATTACAGAACAACTTACTGGGTACTTGAAAGAAACCAAAAATAAAAAAAATAAAAAAAAATCTTGTCCCTTAAGAAATGTCGTGAGTTCGATTGTTCGAACACCATCTCGTATAGAAAAATCAATATGACCAGCACGTACTTTGTTCTTTAATTGTTCTTTAATTGGGTCTGTCTGGTGCAAATGAGGATTAGTCTGAGTATGATACGGGCTTAAATGTACCTCCTACAGTTAAAACCTGTTTAGGACATCTCGTGGTGTGACCGAAAAAAGAAAAAAAAAAAGTGTTCATCCTAGGCATCCAGCTAGCGTGTTCACTACACACTCGTGGGGCGCAGCGGGTGCGTAAAACTTACACCAACATGAATAATTTGTGTTTTAAATTTTTTTAGGACCTAGCTACAAAAACCTCTATATATATATATATATATATATATATATATATATATATATATATATATATATTTGTTCTTTTTTTCTCTTCCATCCTCCCTCGAAATCATTCACTCTCTTTGCCAACAATGGAAAAGAATTGCCCTGGGGTTTAGCGTAGTTGATTCGTCGCCTAATCTAAAGGGCATGACTGGAAGCGACTATGCGGGGGTTTGAATCCCGCTAAAAACATATACGGAAAAAATGGTATAGAAGATCTGAATTGGTGTTGGAATCTCACTGAAAATATATATGTAAAAAAAAAATAGCCCAAGGATAATAAAAAAAATATTGATGGGATCCCTTGTACGTACATTATTACAACATTTAACCATAATACATACTCATCTTATAATTAGAAAAATTTACCTTGTCATGTGCTGATGAGCATTCAATGTTGTATTTTGTGTTTTGCAAATTATAAATTCTCCATGCATGTAATTTTGGTAAGGTATAACTCTACAAAATATATAACATTATAAAATGTCCATTAGTAATAATTCTAATATCAAAATTTATTTATGAAAAATGATAAGTGGACTCAAAGAGAATAAAACTCTCACATGTATCTTGATTTTATTAGAGGAAATTGAAAAGAAATAATAAATAAAATTTATGGCCCACATTTTTCTAATGAATCAAAATGCATGTAAGAAATGAAGTAGAAAGTAAGAGTATGCATAGTTTTACTCTTTATATAAATAATCATCATAGAACATTTTGCGGGATGGTCAATTGTATGATATTGTACTTTATATATTATAGATTATACTATCTTTTTTGGATGACAAGAAAATTCAATAGCCACCATTTGAGTATGAATTGGATAAATTCTGCTCTTATGTAATAGCTCACAAATCACACAAGAGATAAATCGGACCAAAAAGACATAATGTGACGAATTTGACCAATAAAATGTTGACAAATTAAATATCAAACTCGTGATTTGCTGATATGAGAATCATTCTTCGTCCATGGCCAACCTTTTCGGACAAGTTATACTAACACAAAACACAATGCATGGTAACTTACAACATTACAAAATTTGCGTAATCATCATATTGTGGTATTTTGTGATGAAAGGGTGTGGTGTAAAGTTGGGTGAAAAAATGTAATTAGAAAATGAGAAAGGAGAGAGTGGGGAATCTTTCAAAGTGTGTAAGCAGGTGAGAAATAAGGGAAGGGGACGCAGAAGTTGCAGGCCACCTTGGAGACGGAGAAGGCAATGAAAATGGTAAAAAGAATGGAAAAGACGACCACCATTAATTGCATGCAGATCAGAGAAGACTTGAATTGGTAGAGATGATTGAATAATTTTTGTTTTTTTAATTTTTCTAGGACTTACAAATATCTATATAATAGTGTTTTTTTTCTTCCCACCAAATCACTTATGATTGGAGTGTTGATCAAATTTATTAAATCTTCATCCAATTTTAATATTTTAAAATTTGAATTTTGAATATATATATATATATATATATATATATATATATATATATACTACTTAAAACCAATTGATAATAGGTAGGTAGACATTAACAATTTAATCACATCTCTCCATGATAAGTCACAACACCACGTCTCAAATCGAGCAGGGGTTGAATTCGGCATTCCTGACTGATGCCCAACACTTTTAAATCAAAATATAAAAATATTAAATTCTTCTTCAAAAGTATTGCATAATAAACACTTTATTAGTATTACATTTTCATATTGATCCGACTCATTTCATGAACAAGAATATAATTTGTGAGCCAGCCTCACACAAATTTTGCCATTCGATTTATGTTCACAAGAGTGAATGTCTCAAAAGTCTTGTATCAGTCAATTAAGACTGCTTATTTTATTACCATTCATAAGAGTGTTGTTTAATAAATGGTGCATGAATTGGTTTCACTTTGGATATGGACCACTATCGTGAAGTGGTTTGTTTGGATTGAAATTTGGAGTAACAATTGACAAAAAGGGGAGAAAATTTATTGATAGTTCATTGCCAAATTAAACACATTTAATGTGAATTGTGAGTGTGACTTCTGACTGTGAATGTAAATGCCTATCCATGAGCAATTGAATGCAACGACATTAGACAATATAATATAGCACATGAGGGTAGATTAGACCCTTTTCATCAAAGTTTTGTTTGCAACGGCTGTATATATTCCATGCTTCATTCTCTTTCCTTCCAAATATCTCGTGTATGCAAACTTTTCTCTCATCTTGAGTCTCTCATCTAAGTTCTTTGCTCTACATCTCAACCTCACCAAATATCTCTTGCAAACTTTTCTCCTATTTTGAGTTCTCTGCTCTACATCTCAACAACGAGGTGGGCTGGTCTAACACATTTACTCTCAATACATCCCTCTTCTCATTCATTCTTCCCTGTTCTCACAAACTTCATAAGGCCAAAGAGAAAAATGTTGAAGGTTTACGCTTATTGATTAGCGTGGTACAACTTTTTTAACTGGTTTACAAATTTTAGCAAAAATAGTCTTAGCAAAAATGTTGCGTGGCCCCTTTTGCTTTCTTATGGGAAAGGTAACCAACACATTTATTTACATCTTTTTGTTAATTTTTTCTAATTATAATAAATATTTACTTCGTTCAATCTGCTTCATTGAGTCTTGACCACTTCCTCACAGGCCGCCATGTACGCTCTCCGTTTAGCCTCTCCCCCCAGTCTCGGTTGCAAGGCCCTGTCGCCGGGCGCTGGAAATAATCACACCACCATGAAGGCCGGCGACGATGTACATGTAAGAAGAGTGAGTAGCGGAAGTTTAGTTCGCGATGCGGTCACTAAGCCGGAGAAGCAGTTGCCGGTAGTGTCTCCGGGGTCGTTGACTAGTGAGGCTGGACGCCTTATTCCCAATCTGGCTTGCCGCCATGGAAATGAGTCCTATAGCTACAGAGCCATGGAGTATTTAACCGCCATATTGTCATCCAATAAAGTGTACGATGTAGCAATTGAGACGCCGTTGCAGCTCTCCTCCATGCTCACCGCCCGGCTGGGGAACAATATCTGGCTCAAGAGGGAAGATCTTCAACCTGTATGCCCCTTAGCTTCATTTTTTAATTATTTTTCCCTTGCCTTTAATTTATTACGACATAGATCTTTTGTTTCATGGTTTATTATTATTAAAAAAAGAAAGAAATAGGAAAAATGATAAACTAGGCCATCTAACTTTATATGAAAATACAATTAACCCTTTCAACTTTTGAAAAGTAAAGTGCAATTAAACATTTCATAGCCTTAATCTTTATTATAAATTTATAATAGCATGATTCTGGTTACCTACTAAAGTGAGATGATTTTTGGTTTCTTTAACAGTTGTGTTTATCTATTGTTTACCCCCAAAAGACTATATATATATATATAACCTCAAAGATAATTTAGTGCGGGCTAGTAAAGTGAAAAGAAAACTGTGAACTTGCAATCCGGCCACCATTGTTATAATATCTGATATGTATGGGGTTTTTGCTGACTTGGTTCATTGGGTGTGGGCAGGTCTTTGCGTTCAAACTTGGAGGAGCTTATAATATCTTAGAAAAGAAACCACTCCATATACATATTCTTTACATATACGGAAGTTTTCTTGGCCTATAGCTTTAACAGTCACACCTTCTGCAAAACCTCCTACTTGCTCCAGCATTACTCTCTTCCCATGATGCAAGGACAATGCTAAAACATTTGCATCACTGGGCTCAACCCCGATTATCTTTGCTTCGGGGTTAACCATTTTAAAGTAAGAAGCAACACCTGCAATTAATCCACCTCTGCCAACCGGAATAAATATGGCACGGATGGTAAATTTCTTTTCCGACGGTACCCTGCCCAGGCCATGACATTTGTGCCATATTTATTCCGGTTGGCGGAGGTGGATTAATTGCAAGTGTTGCTTCTTATTTTAAAATGGTTTACCCCGAAGCAAAGATAATCGGGGTTGAGCCCTGTGATGCAAATGCTTTAGCATTGTCCTTGCATCATGGGAAGAGAGTAATGCTGGAGCAAGTAGGAGGTTTTGCAGAAGGTGTGGCTGTTAAAGCTGTAGGCCAAGAAAACTTCCGTATTTGTAAAGAATATGTATATGGAGTGGTTTTTGTTGGCCGTAATGCATCAATAAAGGTTAGTCATCCCATCCCTATCCCTTTTAAATTGGCCTGCCTTCCAAATTCATAAATATGCCTGCCTGCCTGCCATAAGTTCCATATAATTGCAATTGTATGCATTAAGTGTGAAGAAAATAAAATAGAATATATGAATTTATAAAGCTAGCTAATTGATTAGATTCAATTGGTTTGTCTTATGTGTATTATAGTTGATCTTGATCTAATCTTATTGAATAGTACATTTTTATAAATACTCAAATTTAAAAGTTGCACTGCTCACTTATATGTAGGATATGTTTGAAGATAAAAGGAGCATTTTAGAGCCGGCAGGTGCTCTTTCCCTTGCGGGAGCTGAAGCATACTCCAACTATTACAACCTCGAAGGACCAAAACATAGTAGCAATAAGCCAATAACCACCGGAGTAAACATAAATTTTGATAAACTGAGATTGGTAGCAGATGTTGGTAGAGAACTTGAAGTGTAAGAGACATGGAATTTGGTGACTACTTTTTTTATGAAAAAGTTCAATTAGCTTTAAATGTCTTTTTTTATGGATGTGTAGTTATATAATTCTGAATGTATAGTTATGAAGTTATGAATGTGTAGTTATGCAATTCTGAATGTATAGTTATGAAGTTAACGGATGTGTAGTTATGCAATTTTAATTGTCATTAGTTAAAATTTAATAATTTAAAACATGTTTCAAATAATAAAATGCTAATCTAATTATTTCTAAATGAATTAAAATCCACCAGTATTGTGCCAATAGCCACACACAAAAACAATTTGCAACCCATAACTCAAAATAAGTAAATATATACTTTATAACTCTCACAACCAGCACCAGTGATTAAGTATCCAAGTGTTGCTAAACATCTGCTCAGGTAGCATGTAGTGATTTTTCTATATGAGAGGTCATGAGATCGAGTTTGAGTGGAGGAGGATAGTACTCAAAAGTATCCAAGTGTACAAAACATGTAAAATAAAATTGAAATTTTTCCCCTTTTTAAATTTTAATTTCATACTCAACCACCTAACTTTTCTATGTTTAGCTTCTTGACATAATGGACTTGGCCCTTAGCTCCCATGTTGCTTGGTATATATACTAGTCAAGATCATGAATTTTCATGTTTTTATGACAACGGTAATTTATAGGCTTAGTCAAATAAAATACAAGATTCCTCATCTAACTATATTTGGTTAATAGTTTATGAAATCTTTTAAAATAGTTCTAACTTCTAAGTGGACTTGAATTTCAAAATCAGAATTTTTAAACAAAGCTTGGAAATAATTAAGTTTTCTCGTAGAAGTCTTGAACTTGCTTAAAAATTGAGTAGCTAAGTTTTGAAAGTTTTAGCTGTGTTAGAGTATGTCAAAGTATAAGGTTAGTATGCATATATATATGATAAGAAAGTAAAAAGTGTAGAGTAAATGACACAAATACTTTTATAGTGGTTTGGGAACATTTTTACTCCACTCTTATCCTCAACTCCGATCACCAATAAGGTTCCATTAAGTATTGCTACACAAGTACAAATTGATTGAAGTTAACACAACTTCTTCCTATTGTAATTCTTGAGATACAAGACAGTCACTGTGAGCATATAGCTATTAATGTGCAATCCAACTATCAGCTTAGACTTTTAGTTGAGATTGAGCACATACTTCAAAATTGTCATCAAGTGGCCCTACCTAGCTTTCACTGCATGACCAAAGCTAGACAAGGTTTGTTGTCGCCTTGCTAGCTAGGATGATCACAAAACTTCTTTTGGTGGAAGATGGTTGTATGTTGTTGAGTTTTGGAGTTTGGAAATCACTTAGATTTCACTTCAACTTAGAAGACTAGATTTAGCAGTAGAGTTTTGAATACTTGATCACACGAGAGTTTTTACCAAACTTTCGACAACTTTTTTATTCTAAGCTTAGCTAGGGTCCTCCTTTTATAGATGAGGAAGCTAATGATGAGCGCCAACTTGAAGTTTGAAGCTTCTCATTCTCACTCACCAAGTGGTAGCTATCCAAAAGTTGCCACAATCTCCTAAAATCCGTTGTCATATCAAAATCTATTACAATTATTCCTAATATATAGTTAAAAAAAAAACTAATAATAAATTCCTAATAGTTATTAGTGTGTCATTTAAATTTTGGTCTCCAATTAGACCATTAAATAGGATGATCAAGTGAGTGTGCCTTGATTCTTGTACCAAAAGGTTACGAGCGAGTGCAATAAGGAGTCTAAAGTGCTTATACAACATTCTTTACATCATCAAAATCTATTACAATTATTCCTAATAGTTTTTTTTTTTTTTTCTTGAAAAAAAATTCCTAATAGTTGTTATTGTGTCATTTAAATTTCAGCCTCCAATTAGACCCATTAAATGGGGTGATCAAGTGGGTGTGCCATGATTATTGTACCATTAGGTTACAAGCGAGTGTGATTCTTGCAGCTTACCTCGTATTACACAAGTCTTAAAAAAAAATATATAATTTAAATTATTTAAGGAATAAAATTCACCAGTCAGCTTAGAACATAATTTTTTTTTTTTTTTTTAAAACTGAATATAATAACTAAATTGTATAAGTTTATATTTCTTGACTCTACTGAGGATTGAACCCAGAATCTCTGGTTTCGTAGACCAGTACCTTATCCATTGGGTCATAGAGTCATGTTTTTTTTTTTTTTTTTTTTTTTTTTTTTGCTTAAACGTGTGACTCCTTAGCCTTTTTAGAATATATAAACACGCAATGGATAAGACGCTAGTCTACGGAATTAGAAATTCTGGGTTCAATTCTCAGTGGAGTTGCACTTTCATATTCGTCTGATTTCTAATTCTATTAAGAGTTGCGTAATCTTGTTTTGTCTAATTCTTCTTTAATCTCTACCTTCAAAGCCGTCAGTCAACATCATTAGTATTATTATTATGTGATTGTTAATACATATTGGTAAAATTATTCAATTGATGTATTGTATTAATTAGATTTTAGTATTGTATATAGCACTAAAATAAAAGTTTAGAAGAAATATAATTTTAATCACATACTTTTTGTTTAACGCAGTGAAGTGATTCCTTCATTATATTATACATACACAATTTTAATTTTAAAGATATCAACACTTTGTACTCAAATTGGTAACATTATATTTAAATTTGTTTGAAAGCAAACATGCATATAATAATATATTGGAATATATATGTTAAACATTAAAAAAAAAAAAGAGCAAAATTACTGTGTATTAGGACATAAGCAAAACAAATGTTTATACAATTCACACTTCCAATGGGAAAAAAAAAAAAAAAAAAAAGAGAAAAAAAAAGAAAGAAAATATAATAATCGAAGTTGAGTGTGATGTAAGTTACATCACAGTCATGTAAGTTTCTCATATATGATTCCAATATTTGACTTATTCTTATTTTTCATCTAAGAATAGTTCCCTTCTTCCAAAGGCTGAACCCCAACCCTAAGGGCCCCCCACACCCCGGCCCGACAGAGCGGTGGGAGGTTGTAAATCATGGGAACTCAACTGAACATTAATCATAGAGGCTAGACCGGTGCTCACTGCGCACAAGGAACCCCCCTCACTTTGAGAAGTTGCTCCCACACTGCCGTTGGTGAGACTCAATCCCTGGTCATTCTTCCAAAGTTTCACCTACCAGTTGAGCTACCCATGCGGGCATCTAAGAATAGTTCCCTTTGACCTTCAATATGATGTCTGAATTAATTATAGAAAACTCAGATATCAAGCCTAAGATAGTGACAACGTAGTGAAGGTTAAAAGTGTAGAATAAAAGGTTTATTTTAGTGTTTAGAGTCATGCTTTTGTATGTACTGCTGAAGTAATCATCGTGACAACATCATAATTTTACATTTCACTTAAGTGTGTATATACTATCGAGCATGTCATTTTTATTTTAGAATATAAAATTTAAAATTTCGGTACATGAGTCTATATATATCATATATATATATATATATATATATATATATATATATATATATATATATATATATATATATATATATATATATTCTCTAGCCTCTCCACCCTATTATATGTGAATTTATTTCCTTATACTTGTGTAGCAATTAGTGTGACATTTCGATGACAGGATGTTGAACTCGGTCCTCCCAAGCCGCAACCCAACAAATTTATTTTTATTTTTTTAATAAAGTCAAATGGATGGAAAGATTGTAAAAATTTGCATTACTTACAATCCTAACATTTTTTTTTTGAAATGTCATGTCTAGCTCATTTTTTAAATTAATGTAGTAATAATAATAATAATAATAATAATAATAATAATAATAATAATAATAATAATAATAATAATAATAATAATAATGATAATAATAATGATAATAATAATAATAATAATAATAATAATAATAATAATAATAATAAAAAATCCCTTCACAATGTTTCACTATTTTAATAATGACATGCATATATATTAAAATGCCAAAATTTATAAACTTTCCCAAGTTATTATTCAAACATTCCACACAGTTCATGCAATCATTTGACTTAGCTCGAAGATTGTTTAAATTGCGTAATTAAGTATTGGAATAAGGTTCAAATTGGCCACTGAACGTAACCTGAAAATGCAATTAGGCCACTGAACGAACAAAAAGTACAATTAGGCCACTGAACTCTCCAAACGTATGCAATTTCACCGAATAGCAGGTTACCATCAATTTTAGCAGGTTATCTGCTTACGTGGCAGCTGAGTTGGCATTTTTAATAATTTTTAATAATTAATTTTAATAATAAATTTTATAAAAAAATTGAAAAAAATTAAATAAAAAATAAAATAAAGTCGTTTTTATTTTTTTTAAAATTTTTTTAAATAAAAATTTATTATTAAAATTTATTAAAAATGATTTAAAATTTATTAAAAATGCCAACTCAGCTGCCACGTAAGCAGATAACCTGCTAAAATTGAGGGTAACCTGCTATCAGGTGAAATTGCACATTTTTAGAGTGTTCAGTGGCCTAATTGTTTTTTCAGGTTACGTTCAGTGGCCAATTTGAACCTTATTCCTTAAGTATTCAAGTGTGCTAAGCATGTAATATAAAATAAAATTGATAAAGGAATACTTCCCTTTTTCAGATTTTCATACTCAACCACAGCTTAATTACTTTACAATTTAATTTGACATGGCCCTTAAGTCCCTAGTTGATAGGTATACTAGTCAAGATCAAGAATTTTCCTTTTTTTGTGACCACTTATAGCTTAGTCGTCAAATAAAATACAATTTCCTCACATAACTAATTAATGTTTGGATCCATGCATATTTCCTTGAAGTAGTTGGTGACAAAGTATTAACATATCATATTCATAATAAATATAAGAGTAACACTGATCTCGTGTTAAATATTGCAAGAGTTTTCACTCGTTTTATTATTATCGCATTTAGATTTTGGCCTCCAATTAGCACCATTGGATGGAGTTGACAATTGTTCTTAATCAGATATAGGAGGTTACATTTATAAATTTTAATATATATATATTTACCAATGGAGTTAAAAATAAGGGAACAAATTAAATTATATATAATGAATGACTTAATTTGGTAAAATTA